TTCTTTCTTTCTTTCTTTCTTTCTTTCTTTCTTTCTTTCTTTCTTTCTTTCTTTCTTTCTTTCTTTCTTTCTTTCTTTCTTTCTCTCTCTCTCTCTCTTTCTTTCCTTCTTTCTTTCTTTCTTTCTTTCTTTCTTTCTCTTTCTTTGCTTCTTTCTTCCTCTCTCTCTCTCTCTCTCTCTCTCTCTCTCTCTCTCTGTCTCTTTCTTTCTTTTTAGCTTATTTGTCAATGTAACAAATTAGGGATGGGTTTGATGGAAGGAAAGAGGAAGAAAAAGATTTCCCTCTTGTTACCCTTTTTCAAGCATAGTACCAAGAAGTGTTTCGAGACAGATTCCAGAGCACCTGAGTTTTACAGAAATATAACCTTTTTAGCCATTACAAACCTGTGCTTTATTTTGGTATGAGATTTCATAAGGATCTTTTGAGGATGTTTTTACTCCCAAAGCAAGAGGAATTGGAAAATAAAACATTTCATGATGGAGCCAGATGACTCACACAAGGCTCCAGGTTTAACCCCCAGCATAAGAAAAAAAGTGGGGGGGCACATTTCAGTCTCTAAAATGATGACAACTTTTTAGGTTGAGTTTTATCAACAGATATGGGCAAACGTATGAGGAAACTTTTGATTTGTTTTAGAAAATTAGTTGAAGTCATTTTTGCAATTCATTCTTTTTGTTTGTTTGTTGTTTGTTTTTTCCAAACTGGGTCTCACTATGTAGCCCTGGCTGTCCTGGAACTCACTATATAGACCAGGCTGGCCTTGAACTCACAGAAATCTGCCTGCCTCTGCCTCCAAAGTGCTGGGATTAAATGCATGTGCAGTTTCTCCTAGCTACTGCATTTCATTCTTAATTCTATTATTAAAAATGTTCTTTGTTGGGGCTGGAGAGATGGCTCAGAGGTTAAGAGCACTGGCTGCTCTTCCAGAGGACCCAGGTTTAATTCCCAGCACCCACATGGTGGCTCACAACCATCTGTAATGAGATCTGGTGCCCTCTTCTGGCAAGCAGACATACACACAGGCAGAACACTGTATACATAATAAATACATAAATCTTTTTTAAAAAATGTTCTTTGTTAATCAGCCCTGTCTTTGGCCACACTTGTGTAAAGCCACTTGACAAGAATGGCACACACACTCAGAATGGTGCACACACACTCAGAATGGCACACACACTCAGAATGGC